AGTGGGACATGCCTGGAAAATCTCTAAATGGAGGCATGCAGGAGGCATCCTGATCAGATGCCTGAACCACCTCAACTGGCTCCCTTTGATGCGGAGCAGCAGTGGCTCTACTCTGAGCTCCCCCTGGATGATGGAGCTCCTCACCTCATCTCTAAGACTAAGCCCAGCCACCCTGCAAAGGAAGCACATTTCGGCTGCTTGTGTCCAGGATCTCGTTCTTTGGTCTTGATGCAAACCTCATGTCCGTAGGTGAGGGTTGGAACATAGATAGACCAGTCAATCGAGAGCTTTGCCTTTCAACTCAGTTATCTCTTCACCACAACAGACTGAAGCAACGTTCCCATTACTGAGTATGAGGCTCCAGTTCATCAATCCTCCTCCTTCTCCATCCTACCATCACTTGTGAACAAGACGCCCAGATACTTGAACTCCTCCATCTGAGGCAAGCTCCTCCCCCAACCAGGAGGGGGAATTCCACCCATTTATGGTTGAGAACCATGTCCTCAGCCAAGTTGTCATGCCATGCCTGGTTTTACCTAAGTTTTAGAATTACTTCTTGAGGCAGTCCTATAAATTCATAAGCAAACCCATCAGTAGCACAGTCCCTGTTTGGGATCTATCTCAGCTGTCTTTGCACACTCACATATTCTCAGCAGTCTTAGTAATTAAGACTTGGCTGTGTACAAACAAGACACATTTGGGAGAGAAAGAGAGGGTAGGAGAGTAAGAGTCAGAAAAATGAATATTCTTTATGAAATGTTTGCCCTCCACAAAGACAATCTGACTGTCACCCCAGCCTTTCCCTCAAGTTCTTTCATGATTTATCATGTTTTCTTCAAATCAGTGCTTTTTTTAATTTAAAATGCACAGATACGCTTCATTCTCTTTGAGTCAACAAGTTTGCATTAATTATGTGCCAGCTGGAAAAAGCAAACCACAATTACTTTGAAAAGTAATGTATTTCTGGTTAGGGACATTGTAAAATCAACAACATAGAAGTACACATAAAAACTAACAAAGTCTGAAGGTTTGCCGGGATATATGATTTTGGTACTACATGCTAATACACCACAGCAGGATGAAGACCACAATACAACAGAAGCATTAACCCCATGTAGAAGGAGTTGGCAAGAATACAAGATCAATGCAGCACAAAGATCTGTCAGTCAGCTCTCAGTGTCACAAACAAATTTAACAAAGATTGAAATTCCAAGGAAATACTACAACTTGTACTTACCTGAGGCTCGAAAGACTGTCAAACAAAGCCTCACAGCCCTGGCTACCTGCCTGAATAGGCACACTAGAGATACAGTACCTAGGCCAGGAGAATAAGTAGAGTGTTCTCTACTGCACTAATCAGTATATATTCTCAGTGTCAGGTGAATTACACAAGAGCAGAAGGCTGACATTAAATAATAGAGAAGCATAAGAAGGAGGCATCAAATCACACAATTAGAACAAGATTAGTCGTCTCCCTGAACAAGAACCAGTTTACATCACAATGAGCAATGTGAAGCGTTGGATTGCACCAGACTCCAACATCATCCATTCCAACAGGCAAAAAAAACAACAACATAATGCTTTCCATGAATGTCTAGAAGCACAGATCAACCATCTGCACCCATAGAACTCAACCCAGGGCAGGGCAGTCTTGATTATGAATGATCTTTGGAATTGTAAAATTTCATCCAACTACCATCCAAAACCCTGAATCTGCTCAAGTGCAGATGAAAATTGTTGGACTACAGTGCTGCAAGACGTCAACTGTTACATCAAGAAGGTACAGTGTAGGAGAAGCTTACGTCATGGGCTACTAGAAAATGTTGATGTTGTGGAAAGTTAAAGAGCATTCAGAGTTGTGACCACCAAACTGTGAGGAAGGCTTAAGTAGATTTTAGAAACAACCTTCGAGTTCTCTGCCTAGGAGAGTGCAGTCTTTGAAACAACTAAGATACTGCAAATACAATTCAAGCTCCCAGACCTTTGGTGAAAGCCCAAACCTGAAGTGAAGGGCAACTGCCCACATGCAGGGGACAATGAATTCAAATGTATACATGCACACGCACTACTGTATGTGTGTGTACAGTTACTATCAATTATCAGTTTACCTTGTTTTTGTCAATGATAAAGTAACAAGGGGCAATGGGATAAGAAAGTCCAAATGGTCTTGGAAGATGATAATTTATCATTCATCAGTTGAAAATAAAATCATATGTCGTTTGGTGATAGAACGGCATTAGAAACAATAGCAGACTTTACACAGTGCCATGTTGAGCTGGTGCTGATTCTTGCTGGTTATGCTCACCTTGAGCATATTAATGGTGCTATAGTACTTAGTGCACACTTTGTTGGTCACAGTGGCACTAATAAGAGCCATGAAGGCAGTTCAAGAATTGAGCCCACAAAAATCAGTAACACATTTCATTAGGTGCAACATTATTGACTATTCATTGAGCAAGTATTGCTTTGTCTTTTAAATCATGATGAAATACCAGCGATAAGTGAGCCAAGTCTAACAATGACTGGACAAAGAGTAGCTGGAGTGATGAGAAGGTGCAGACAGAGGAAGGTTGTGTTGTACCTGTCGTAGTCTCCATTACACAGTGCTCGCACTGGGATAGTAAAAGGCTGCCACACTGGATTTAATGTATTCTTCACCACCTCTGTTTTATGGCAGATAGTAAACCTAGAGGCAGAGGAGGATGGACATTAGAAAACAAACTGTACAATGATAAGTAGAGAAAGACAACTGATCATTTGTTACTTACATAATCAAAAGAGAATGGCAGTAATCATGCAAATGAGGGGAGTAGTATGTAACTGAAAAGATGAAGGGAACTGGGTAAAGGCAAATCCCACCACCATATTTTCTTGCAACAGGAAAAATGCTTTAAATAGGACTTTTTTTTTTAATTGGCTCTATCTCTGGGCCTATAGACTAATTTAAAATTATATTCTTGCTTTTAAATCCTTTCCCTGGTTGACAAGTGTAACACTATCCTGGAAATGGACTTCTCAGATATGTAAAAGGCTTTGCAGAGCAAAAATCACCTAAATATCCTATCCAAAAAGCAACAGAATGTGTCACAGTTTTGTGATGTCTTACTCAAAAGCTTGGTTTAGGTTGTTTGTGCTCCACCGAATGCCCCCAGCTTTTTAACACCCTCTGACTCCTTTACCCATTCAAGCCTCTAATTTGTAACACCCCACAGGCACCAACAGCAGATACTTGTAAAAGGACTGGGGGATCCATTTTCGTGCTATTATGCACAATACAAAAAAAAAACATCTAAAAAAAGCTTGAAGACATCTTTTACCACATACTCTGCCACAACTGCAGGGTCATATGACAGGCTGAAGAGCACCCTGGGAAAAGAGCTCCTCCTGTGAGTAGATTGAAGAACGTGATGCATTTCAATGGAAATTGCCTCTACAAATGACCGTTTTCTTCCCATTAAGGGAAAATGTGCATGCAGTGTTTTGTTATTCCTTTTCCTATACGTTTTACATTAATTGCTCCTCTTCTTGTGTTTTTCTTTCCTGGCATCATTTATAAGTAAGACAGAGCCATGGGAATTGTGGTTGTGCTGTCCAAAAGATACATGCACTGTTTCACAGCCTCCAAGAAGGTGCACGCCTCTGTAACAATGGCATCTTTTCCACTCATTTCATCTATATTGTTATTATGACAGCGATTTCTTTCAGCTCTTTCTGTTTTAAAGATTTCTATATGTATATCAGATTTTTTTTTTTCATTTTGTATTCTTACCTAAGGTTTGAGGAGTGCAAATAATAAAAGCTACAACTTTATTTTAAAGTGTTGCTACTGTTTGTAGTTTCTCCAATGTAAAATAATTCAATTCAAATTCAAAAATACTTTATTAATCCCAAAGGGAAATTAATTGTTATTGTAGCTCATCCTAGTTTCATTGAAGTTGTTCTAGATGCTGATGTCTGTGTAGCAGTCCGCCCCACAGCAGATCCGAAGAAACTGGCTGCAGATGCCAATCCATCCATGCAGACCCAGCAGACCTTTCAGTCCTCCTGGGTAGCAGAACTGCCTGAATGCTGGGCAGAACTCCTCCCCAAGCAATGGCTATTCCTCCTAGCAGCCTGCCGAGCTCCTTGTCGCCTTGTCAGACGAAACTGCAGGTGCCGGGGGATGAGCTCGGTCTTCCCACTGTCACAAGCCACATTTTCCACCACCTACAAGATCTCAGCGGTCAGGCACTCAAGCAATACCTACAGGGAGACGGAAATGCATCCACAGCACCTCCTTTTCAACTCATTTGGGATTTGGGGCTGTAGTTGAGGTATTATTTGAGCTTTGAGATGTTAATCAGCAGCTTCCAGTTGTACAAAACCACCTTGTTGTCATGGTTATGCATCAAAACAAATGTTCAAAAGTTTAAAAGTTTAAAATAATTACTCCTAAATAATTTTTTTTCCAGGGTGTCCCCAGCCTCTCGCACAGTGATAGCTGGACATGGGCACCAGTGACCCCTGCAACCCGAAAAGGAAGAAGTGGGTAAAGATAATGGATGGATGGATGGATGGATGGATGGATGGATGGATGGATGGATGAATATTAAGTAACAATTTACTGTATTTTCAAGTGAAAAGATAAAAAAGAGAAAAATTAATAGACATCTATAAGTCTAACTGTAAATGTTGACCAAATATTTGCATTTAGACATTACATCAAGAACACTGCAAGGAATAAAATTAAAATACTGTATAGTGAGACTCAAACTCACAATCTTTGCTTTACAAGCACCTCTCATAACCTACTGAGCCAAACTGCCACATAACTGCAGTTTGCACTTCCACACCACAAAGCCTAAACGTTCTTACATGTTTACACCAAGAATTAACTTTTTCAAAGCCTTGAAGTCCTTGTTGGTGCTCTCTGGAATTTTGGCAGGGTTTTATCAAATAAAGATATGCATTTTTTTAAACAAACTAACAAAATCACATGAACCACTTACGTTCCATCCTCGTTGCTTCTGTAGAAAACCATGAAAGGGTCAGACTTGCCAAAAAAGTCCTTTTTGTCCAGCTTGTTGGCACAGAACTGCATAGTGGCACTGTCCTGCAAGTATGCAATAAACAAACAAACAAACAAATAAATAAATATGATACAAAAAAGAGATATTTTGCTTTGATATTTCTATATCATATTATGTTGATCTATCGTCATTCTTCTCTACTCCTCTCTTGTGTTCACTGCTTGTTTTGGGACAAAACATTTTAATGGTACTTAAAACTGTACGGTTGAAATCCACACTGAGAAGTATTTTCAATACTGACTCAGTTTCAATTTTGTGAATTGAGCAACTGGTTGATTTCCCTGCACAATCCAACTCTCACTCCAAACTACTGCCATTTAATTTTGGTCAGGCAGATAGTGGCCAGTTTGATTTTTGACTAGGTATTTCAGGTTTATAAAACAACATATTCTCAAAAACATCATACCAGTGTGACCCACCCCCACCC